TAAGAATTTGGGTCGCTATATGCATGTCCTGACATTGAGGATAACAGAAGATAGAAAAGTCTAAACATATATATGGTAAAAAAAGACTGATAAAATTTCACCTGTTGAAAAATAAAAATAACTATATTGCAATGGGAAATTCGCTTTTAGGAAGTTTGTTATAGTGAAGTCCAACTATTTTTTTAATTATTATAACTGTTTTTTCTTATTCATTTTTTGTTAGATAATAATTCAGTTTCATTTTATATTTATTTTAGCTATGAACTTAAGGCAATTACTGAAGTAGTCTAGGAAGCTTGTTTTTATATACATTTATTACAAAATTTAATATTCATTACTTTATTTTTAAGATAAAAAATACTTTTTTATGTGCTGTTCTAATTTATAATTATACTATATTTTAAACCTTTGCCTTCTTTCTATTATATTATATGTGTACACTACAGTTTCTTTAGTGTATTTAAGTAATATTTAATTGTCCCTATTTAACAAATCATATCTCTTTTTAGTCTTACTAGATTTCTTTAAATATCTATTTTTCTGTTCGCTTAATAATATAGGGTGTTCTTACAAATATCAGTAAAAATATCAGTTGATATAGGTATAATATATGTAGGATATTTATGGTATATATATATTTCGTACTTTGTTTCTAAAAGCATAAATAGTAATATATAATGATATATAAAATGATTTATTTTTAAAATGGTTATATATAATCATTTTATATGATTTTTATTTAATTTTATATTTTATATGATTATACACAAAAATTTTTGCATAAAAAATCTTTAAGTTTAAATGCATTTGTACTGCATCTATAGATATAGTAAGTTTTATTATTGAACACCAAGTGTGTCCGCATAAAGGAGGGAGTTATATGAGTGTAACCTCCCATGCGGCTTAAGCAAAAAGACATACATATTGTATTTTTTATAACTAGAGAATAGGTGTTGTATGAATTTAACCCACCATACGTTATAAGCTCAAAAGAAAATTGATACTCTATAGCAGGTAAAGTAGTATATTATTATAATTGTAGTTAAAATATCTGTACAGAAAACTTTAGCTCAGCTGTAGACGTGTTAGAAACGTTAGAAGTCATTGTAGTAACCATAGCGGCAAACGAAAGGTACTTTACCAATCTTTGCAGATTGATTGGCCTTACACTTATGGCGATTTTTTTGTACCAGAGAGATTTCATAAGTGAAATTAATAATCAAATAGCGTGATTACTGAATGAAACTATTGTTTACTGGAACTATTTCCAAACTTCACTCCGTTTAAATTTTCTGCGGGCGCTTGTTATAAATTCTAGTTGCTTTTTTAATATTTTTAATATATATTGTATTATTATTGATAATTTATTTCAAATTTATTTAAAGTCAAACATAAAACTGAAACACTTATCGAACTTTACACATACAATAAACTTCAAACAGAATGGGAATACATTTTCCATAAGTCTTTTACAATTCTAATGGCTTAATAAACATATTAAATAAACATTTTACAAATTAAATGTACATTTAACCCATTTAGAAAGGGCAAATATATACAAATAAAATGCAAATAAAAAAGAAAAAAAACAACAAACGAAAACTTATAACAAACGAAATTATTAAACAAGTACAATTCATATTCTGTGCGGAAATTATATGTTATCTGGGAAACCGCCCTTTTCAGTAATTATAAACTCATATTTAAAAATATACAATAATAAAGTTGAAGACCTCTTTTAAACTGAACGAACACATACACACACACTAATGCTGGGAACACTATATGCGTATATGCGTATGCAATGGACGAGTACAATAATCAGTTGTGAAAATTCCCATGAGCGCCATCAGGGCATAAAGGGAATCAGCTACGCAAATATATGAAGTAGCGAAGATAAAAGCATGAGTATTGCACTTCGACAACAAAGAAATTCTACGCAATAAAAATAGGGGAAAAACGGGTCAAAAATAGCAAACAGCACTGATTATGTCGGCTTGTACGGCAGTGAGTGCGTAGTCCTCTGTTAGTGTGAGTGTGAGTGCGAGTATCTATGTACTTTATTGTTTGTTAGTCTGTAAGTAAGTAAATATCAGATATTTTAATGCATTTAAAATAAAATGCATTAAATATCTTAACAGTTTGTCAAATAAACTATATGCGGGCACGCTTAAGATATGCGCTATGGTAGCAACAAATCTGACAGTTCAGCGATGGAAAACAATAGAAAAAGTATTAGCAGATATGAGACCACACAAAAAAAAAAAATAAATGACATTTGGGAATTAATGTTTATTTTTATGAGTTTATTTATACATTTGTTAAACTAGATATATCAAATATCTAGCCATTACAATTCCATAACATCACAATAACATTTTGACAATAGAAAACTTAAGTTATAGATACACATAGATAATATAGACATATTAATATATAATAGTTATATATATTTTTCGGAAAGTCATAATTAAAAACATTTAACACAAATTACTAAGTGTAATTTTTTTATAATTTTTTTGTGTAAAATACATGACATAAGCCCGCTGAAAATCAAAAACTTAATATAAATTGATCATAATACTAATTAATTATTGGAAAGTTATTTATTTTTTTTTGATAATTCAAGATTTTTTACGAGGTCATGTAAATACTATGTAAATTACATAAATCAAACAAATTAATTCCCAAAAATCACTAAGTAATCACTAAGCAGAGATTGGCATGCTTAGGCATAACGCGTATCCCATAATCGCCATGAAAACGCTTCTAGAACTAACACCTTAACATATGGTGATGCAGTGTGATAATAATAAGAATGAACTCACAGTATATCTTTAAATTCAGATAGTCGTAAAAATAAGCCTGTCTTTTATTATTCAAACATCCAACATAAAGTCAGCTTCTCTACTATAAACTACTATAAAACAGGTTTTCGTAAAAAAATGCAAATATTGGAACAGGGGCTTTACACAGCTTCGTAACACGCAAATGTTTTATACACTGATGGATCAAAATCTGAAAACGGGCGAAAAAGTGCTGAAATAATGAATACAGCCGTTCCAATGAAAATGTCTTCCACACTTTTTTTAGATAGACCACTGAAATCTGTGCCATAGAATGCATAAAAAGTTGATAAGCCCTAGTATTATTTTATTTTCGAACAGCCACACTGTTATAAAATCTCTCCAATCTTGAACCATCAAATTAATCACAAGCTACACTAATCTTAATTATAAGTTGGATACTATGAATAAAGTAACAATCATTTGGGTACATGAATATAAGAAAGTTACCGGTAACAGGTTAACGAAGGTGAACGCAATAACTCCATTTTTAGAAGCCCAACCCTTTAGCGGAATTTGCTCTTATTACATTTAATCAGTACTTAGACACAGAGCTATTTGAAAAGGTCTGGGCCAACTCTAATGTATGAGGGTAGTTCAAATAGGAGTAACAGGTCAGTACCTCATCTAGCACTGATTTTATACTTATATGTCCCAATTTTCCTGTCAAAGCTGTACGATATTTTTGGACAAATCGGTCAAACGACTAAAAAGTCGTTTAGTTATTACTAAAAATATAAACATTTAATTGGAAACAAGCTTGTTGTTTTACAGCAGATAGCAAGCCATTTCCTAGCGGTTAAGCTATAAATGATTTATACTACAATAATTTGTATACTAAATGCCTACCTATTTAACTTGTTAAAGCAAATATATTACTATGCAATTTGTATAGTTTTTTATAGCTTAAAAATAAATTAATTTTTTTTATGTTCATACATTCACGTTAATGTTATAATTCCGTTATTATACACCCAGCGAAATATTTATATATGTTTTAGACACATTACTTTGTAACCCATTTACTTATTATTACCTTCTTAAATATAAGTTTTGGTGTGTATATACTCGTATAGAATTCTGAATAACAAAATGGGTATCAAAAAATTTTTTTGGGTTTATGGAATCTATGGCACTTTCAAAAACCTCGTGCATTTTTCGCGACAAATTTACGTATCTATGAGCAAGATAGTTAAGCAATATAAAACCTCATTTTGATTTATACTCCAGTACAAAGTTCTTCAACTTCCTAATAATGAAATAGGATAATGTTTTGTCTCCAAAAAATATGTACTCTGAGGTTTATATTCCTTTTTCAAGAAAGCTAATTCTCATATATTTTATATATCAATATTCAAATAAACAGATCCTTGCAAATTTTTATTTTTAAATAAATACACATATATATATATATACATATACCTTCTGCTCAAAAAGAATCGGGATTTTGTTATTTGTTAACTACTCCTTAAGTAATAGACCTTTTTTTTGTTATGTTGGTACACCCTTTCTTGACATATGGTACAAATTTGAGCGCCATCTGTCAATTAGTTTGTTTACAGCAGCTGCTAATGTGAGACTACTCAAGTGTATTTAGCGATTTTTAGTAATTTTTAGGAAAATTCTTGTTGTACGCGATTTTTTGATCAAACACGGCACCACTGTCATCGATCAGGCACCATGTTCGACTTTTTCCTGTTTCCGAAACTCAAATTGCCCCTTCGTGGTAAGCGTTTTGAGTCGATTAAATCGGTGAAAGAGAATTCGCCGAAGGAACTAAAAGCCATACCTTCACGGGCCTTCGAAAAGTGTATGGAAGATTCGGTTAAGCGTTGGCATACCTATCTTCATTACATATACATGAATAAATTTTACGTTTACGAATATAATGCTTTGGGATATGAGCATCTTATTGGATTGGGTGTATATACACATTAAATTGGTTTCCATTTATCACTGATTCTTTTGCTCAACTGTCCCATATGATATAAATCTATTATTAATACAATATGGAAAAAAGAAAATTAATTGAATGATTTGATTAATACCCACAACTCAAGGTTGAAGAAATTATAACCTTTGTAACGAAATGAATATATAAAGATCACTAAATTCTATAAACTATTTCAGTCTTTCTTAATCAGTAAACAGACGGTCAATATGGATATACTTTACTTCTTACTATACTTCATTATTAGCAGTTCTCTTATTATATATCTGTCGCTACGTAAAATATACTCATATTGGGCAGAGCGCGGTATTTTACATGACAAGCCAAAATTTTTTTCTGGAAATTTTCATGAATTTGGAAAAACGAAATCGGCTTATGAAATATTGAGGGAGTACTACGAAAAGTACAAGGGCAAAGCTAAATTTGTCGGAATATATTTTTTATTACGACGTTCTGTTTTCGTGATAGATTTTGAACTCATGAAAACATTATTAATTAAGGATTTCGACTATTTCACAGGTCGTGGTACATACTATAATGAGAAAGATGATCCGCTTTCAGCGAATTTAGTGTTTGTGGAAGGTGAAAAATGGCGAAAAAGTCGTGCCGAACTTAATCCGTGTTTTACATTGGGAAAACTGAAGTTCATGTTCCCTGCAGCAATGGATGTTGCCAATCAATTAGTTCAAGTCATAAAAGAACAACAATTGTCAACTTCAAATCAAGACATCGAAATTGAAAGTCTGATTAATCGCTATATAATAGATCTTGTTGGAAGTATTGGATTCGGTTTAAACTGTAATAGTCTGAAAAATCCTAACGCTGAATTCAAAAAGATGGTAGAAAGATCATTTAAATTACGTTACCATTTTGTAATGTATTCATTCATGTATGTATTTCCAAATTTATCAAGAAAATTAGGTATTAAATATTACACCGATGATATTCAAAAATTTTTTTTACGTATTGTGAATGAAACGGTAAAGCATCGAGAAGAAACCGGAGACCAAAGAAATGATTTTATGAATTTGTTGATTGAGTTAAGAAACTCTGATAAAACTGGGTGTTTATCCATACAAGATATAACGACTCATGCATTTACATTATTGACTGCAGGTGTGGAAACAAATACAGCGGCTATGAGTTTTTGTCTTTATGAACTGGCACTAAATCAGGATGTGCAGGATAAGGCCAGAACCGAAATTAATGAAGTTCTGACAAGATATGATGGAAAATTAACTTATGAGGGAATGAATGAACTGAAATATTTGCAGCAAGTCTTTTTCGGTAAGCGTTTAAAAATATGTATTTTAATTTAATACATATTAATTCATATTTTATTTTTATTCATAGAAAATTTACGAAAACATCCAGTTTTTCCATTTGACATACGTGTATGTACAAAAGACTATGTTGTACCAGGTTCAAAGCATATTATTGAGAAAAATACTTCAGTTATTATTCCCACTGCTGCAATTCACTATGATCCAGAAATATATCCAAATCCAGAACAATTTGATCCAGAACGGTTTTCTGTAGATGAAGTAAAAAAACGTCATCCCATGGCGTTTTTAGGGTTTGGCGATGGTCCCCGTGTATGTATTGGGAAGAAATTTGCTATTATGCAAATCGTGGTTGGTTTAGTAATGATATTACAGAACTATCGTATTTTGCCCACATCAAAAACTCCTATTCCTATGAAATATAAGACAACCAAACTTTTCGCTGAAGCCAAAGATGAAATCTACTTGAAATTGGAAGAAATTTAAAGCAAATTATTTAGTTTCCATATCAAAAGTATCGCTTAGTAATATTATTATTATTTTAGATATAATGTTTTATGAGTGTGGCTTTACTATAAATTTTTAATTTTTAAAAAATTGTATATCAGTTTTATTTCAGATGTCAGTAGATGATATCAGTAATGTTGAACTTTTGCTTGAGAATTATTTCTACTATGAAATGGTTATAAGAGAGTAAATTTTAATAACATCATACAAATGTCTCAAAAAATAAAACAAATAAAAAATAATAATAAATTAATAAGAATTTGATGAAAAATAAAGCAGTTGAATCTTGGAATTGTTTGTCTTTCTTTAAAGTTGTCAACTTTTAAATTAACTACGGAACAATGAAATTGAAGAAGAAGGATATGTCACTGTCCGAGTTCCGAGTAATACATAAATGAGTGCATCAACCGATTATATTTGCAAGGAAAACCAGAAACTAGTAACATTATTAAGCTCAAAATAATCAACAGAAGCGGAAGGGCAACTTAATTTCTGTATTCCAAATTTAAGAAAACTGCATATAAAATGTACCCCACTCAAAAAATAGCACTCGAAGAAAACTAACACTGGGACAATTGTCGCAGGTAAGCTTGAGAAAGGCCCAAGAGGTCAAGAGGTGCTTTTATTATAAAATATCATATTTTATTGAAACCTTATTTAATCAATAAAATTTGTTAAAATATTGTTAGTAATAAAAAAGTCAATGACATCAGATTTGTTATTAATATCTGACTGCTAATATGTTGGGTGTTTTGAGAAAAAATCACAGTCTGTTTCTTGTACCATGAGCCCTAGATTGTGTGTAACATAAAGCACCCATGTAAATATTGCGTTAAAAAAAAACTTTATTTACTCCGACTAATGTTTATATCCTTTATATGTTTCTTTTGAAGATCCTTTCCTACCATTAAATCGTCTTTTCCTAATATCTCTTATTTTTTCCGGCAGATTCGAAAAATCTTCTAAGATTAATTTTTTTATGATTCTTAAAGTATAGTAGGATGGTACGGGCAAATTAATTATCTAACTAGCTAATAATTTTGAAATGCTATTTTTCTGATTAATCTTCAAGTTTAGATTTAACAATAGTTCATTAATGGCTTTGGTTATTATTTTTCTTTGCGAGGGTCTTCAAACATAGTTCTGCAATTACCTTATGTGGAATTATGTGGAAGTGTCTTATGTGGAAGTGGTACTTATGTACTACTTATGTGGTCAGTGCTAGTATTAACAAAATTACGCATTAAGTTATTATTATATTAACTGAATGTATTTTATAAATCGCTTACATCCTCATTTATCGTATGAAATGAATACTCTTCGATTATATGAATGCATTATTATACTTTATTAAACGATGGCAACACTTTAACTGGTTTTACAACAGTTTTTCTCTATTTTGTTCTTTCATATTAGCATCCATTATATGTATATTCGAATATTCTTGTGACATCTTTTACTTCATGTCGCTTTAAGGAATTTAAACTATTTCTAAAACAATAAAATAAATTCTTTTTACCGGCTAATCGTATATAAATATATATTATATATATTTTACTTTCAAAATACACTGTTTTCTACAATTTTTTTTAACTATTTTATTATAAAAACATTTTCATATTCTTAAACAAATATTAAACATAAATGAACAACGCCATAAAATGTTGCTATGAAAAGCTTATTAAAAATTGTATCTACTATTGATTTTATATTACGGAAAAATACCTTTTACAGCATTTCAAAAAATTTGCATTAAATTTCTTCCAATTTCAAATAAATTTCATCTTTGGCTTCAGCAAAAAGTTTGTTTATCTTATATTGCAGTGGAATAGGAGTTTTCGATGTGGGCAAAATACGATAGTTCTGTAATATCATCACTAAACCAATCACGATTTGCATAATAGCAAATTTTTTCCCAATACACGCACGAGGACCGTCGCCAAACCCTAAAAACGCCATGGGATGACGTTTTTTTACTTCATCTACAGAAAACCGTTCTGGATCAAATTGTTCTGGATTTGGATATATTTCTGGATCATGGTAAATTGCATCAATAGGCACAAAAACTAAAGTACCTCTCTCAATAATATAATTTGTTTTCGGAATGACATAGTCCTTTAAACATACACGTGTCGTACATGGAAAAACATAATGCATTCTCAAACTTTCTAAAAATAATGACAATATATGAATTTAAGTAAAATAATACGATAATAAGTAAAAAATGTTTACCATTAAAAACTTGCTGCAAATATTTCAGTTCATTCATTCCCTCATAAGTTAATTTTCCATCATATCTTGTGAGAACCTCATTAATTTCAGCCCTCGCTTTATTCTGTACATCCTGATTTAGTGCCAGTTCATAAAGACAAAAACTCATTGCAGGCGTATTTGTCTCTACTCCTGCAGTCAATAATGTAAATGCATGAGTCGTTATATCTTGTATGGATAAACACCCAGTTTTATCAGAGTTTCTTAACTCAATCAACAAATTCATAAAATCATTTCTTTGGTCTCCGGTTTCTTCTCGATACTTTACCGTTTCATTCACAATACGTAAAAAAAATTTTTGAACATCATCGGTGTAATATGTTATACCTAACTTTCTTGATAAATTTGGAAATACATACATAGATGCATAGATAATTAAGTTATGACGGAGCTTAAATGATTTATCTACCATCTTTTTGAATTCAGCGTTTGGATTTTTCAGACTGTTACAGTTTAAACCGAATCCAATACTTCCAACAAGATCTATTACATAGCGATTAATCAGACTTTCAATTTCGATGTCTTGATGTGAAGTTGACAATTGTTGTTCTTTTATGACTTGAACTAATTGATTGGCAACATCTATTGCTGCAGGGAACATGGACTTCAGTTTTCCCAATGTAAAACATGGATTAAGTTCGGCACGACTTTTTCGCCATTTTTCACCTTCCACAAACACTAAATTCGCTGAAAGTGGATCATCTTTCTCATTATAGTATGTACCACGACCTGTGAAATAGTCGAAATCCTTAATAAGCACACTTTTAATAAGCTCCAAGTCTATTAGCAATATCGAGCGTCGTAAAAAAAAATATATTCCGACAAATTTAGCTTTGCCCTTGTACTTTTCGTAGTACTCCCTCAATATTTGATAAGCCGATTTCGTTTTTCCAACTTCAACAAAATTTCCGAAGAAAAATTTTGGTTTATCGTGTAAAATACCGCGCTCTGCCCAATATGAGTATATTCTGCGTAGTGACAGATATATAAGAATGCAACTGATAATAATAGAGTATAGTAAAAATTGTAAGAACTCCATATTGATCGTGTGTATACTGACTGACAAACACTGCAACTTTTTAAAAAGATTAGTGACATATATACGTGCGCTTTAATTCTAAGATCACTTTCAATATAATTTTTTTTTACCTTGATCTATCGGTATTAACTAAGCATACAATGTTGATTGATAAAATTAGTAATATATAATATTATATAATTATAATATACACCCAACGAAAAAATAGGTGAATATTTAAAAGTATAAAAACATTTTTATGAATGAAAGGCACAATTTTTTGAAACTACAACATAGCTTTCAAGTTTTCTTTAGCTTTCATTGCAATACAATTCGGGGTTGGAGATAAGTCTCAGGTTATAAATATATGTTATGTAAAATAACAAGAATGGCTGTTTTTCAGAATATACAAATGCAACACAAATCTACAGTTGTGGTCTTTGACTGCTGCGCGGATTAAAGAAATTCCGAATTTATTTTAGATATTTATAACTAAACACCCTGCATTTTGCCCTTATACATACTTATCATATCTCACAACGCCTATGCGCATTTGAGTAATTAATTTCACTTAGGCTTAATGCCTATATTTCTTATAGCAACATTGTTGTAAAATGTTTACTTTGGGAACAGAAAATATTTTGCAGAAAATATATGAAGTATCATTCAAAACACTTGATCGATAAGATGTCCAAATTCTATTGGATATTAATCTCGTCATCTGGCTATTGATTCCAAATCTAAAGACGCTTACGAGGTGTTTTGGAAAATAGAAGCTGCAATCCTATAGGCTGGCTATAAAAATGTTTCTAGAAAATTCTTATGAGTTTTAGAAGCTATAATCCGATTGGTCATATTAGAAGAAAACTCCTAAGTCAGTCATTGGGAAGAGTTGAATGAGTTTAAACGAAGGTTTTAAAACGTCCGGAATATTGTTATAACAAATTATTAAAGTATTAAATGTTAAACAAGTTGAAATTATATATAACAAAATTATTGTACAAATTATATAAATAAACCGCATTTTATTTTTTAAAATTCAAATCTAACATTTTATAAATTAATGTACACTATAAACATTTCGTTGGGTGTATAATAATTATATATCGCCTGAACAAAATCAACAGACACCTATTAGAGTAGTAATTAAAAGTAATTAGCTATATTATTATATTAAAGCTATGAGATAATAACGTTATTAATTATACTCTCATGAAGTCATTAAAAATTTTTTTCTTAATCCTAATTTTTTTCTTGGTGAGCTTTTATTACTTATTAAATAATATCTCTATTATATTCTTTGCTTTACAACACTTAATGAGGTATGGAAATTTTTGAACATCTCTCTTTCTCTCTCTCTCTTTCTCGGTCCCTCTCTCTCGATCCCTCTCTTTCTCTTTCTCTCTCTTCCTCTCTCTTTTGCTCTCTCTCTCTTGCTCTCTCTCTCGCTCTCTCTCTCGCTCTCTCTCTCTTGCTCTCTCTCTCTCTTGCTCTCTCTCTCTTGCTCTCTCTCTCTTGCTCTCTCTCTCTCGCTCTCTCTCTCTCCTCGCGTGCTTCTTGCTCTTTGCTCTGTCTGCGGGTCGTCGTCGTCTCTCTGCTCTCTGGCTCTTCGTCCTTCAGGAAGCCTTCTGTTCTCTCTTCTCTGCTCCTCTTTCTCTCTCGCTTTCGTTCTGTTTCTCGCGTCTCTGCTCTTCTCGTCTCCTCTTCTCGCTCTCTTCTCTCTTCTTGCTGTCTCTCTCTTGCTCTCTTCTTTTCTGTTCTTTCT